GACAATACACACAAACTTTTCTGAGCTCTCTGATTATTTATCAACATCAAGAGTACCCACATAACTGAAAATTAACTCAAATTGGTCACAGAGTACAGCAAGTGCAAGGGGAGAAAGAGCAATGAGCTAAAAGAACTGCTGCTAGCCCTGAAAGAAACCCACAACATGATTTTCATAAAAAAATATTTTATCATTTTCAGAAAACACATCAGTGCCACGAACTGGAAAACTGAAATAATGCAGATATTAGTGCAATGGTAGAGCCAAGCATATAGGACAAGGGGAGAGGTGCTTTGTGTGTTATCTCAAGACACTGGTGCAACTGTCCTTCGGAACAAGATGAGAGGTTCCTGTGAAAAGCTCAATCAACCTCTTTTCCTTCCTTCTTACCAAAACAATTGCTCACTGAAATGAAGAAAGAAAACACTGCTCAGTACTCTGATGTTCCGTGGTATTCTCTGGTGTAGCTTTGATCCTCCACCTCTTTCCTCATGTACTCTCTTCTCCCACATACTTCTACATACACATGGGATGAAAACTCATATTGTATCTTAACCTTGAGGACCTACATCAAATATCTAGTCATATTTTCTTATGAAAAATTATCTAGGTTCCTGGTTTTAGGTAATAGAAAACCAGTACTCTTGTAACAAGCTAGTCATGATACAGATATTGCAGGACACCCTCATGAGAGATGTAGGGTGTGATCCATACTTTAAGGATTTGAAAAACAGTAGTACTGCTCTGCTATGAACTCCTGCTTATAGTCTTCAGGATTTTAGAGGATTTTGAAACAATATATGAGCAACTTTGTGGGCAAAATTGACTTGTATAAAACTCTAGTTTATCTTTTTACTGTCTTGCTAGTAAAAACATCCATATGCTCTTCCTCAATTACTTCAAGGTATACTTCACTATATTAAAAAAAATTAATTCCAGTATCATGTAGACATAATTTTCTGTTCCACTGTAAAAACAGATAAAGTACATCTAAGAAACAACAAAAACTTGAATATTTTTCTTTGAAAAGACAGACTACGATATAAAGAAGTTATTATGTCAAGTGATCTCTGAAAATGGCATTTGAGTTTTTCAAATATTTTTTCTTTTTTTTTTTTTTTTTCCAGGTTGATCTTTTGATTAGATTAGTCAAGTTCTTATCACTTGGGGGAATTCCAATGAAAAAGACATGAGCTCTGTGATCTATACTTAAGCATTAATGTTGGTATTCTGGAAAAGAAAAAAGAAAACAAAAATATCTTTTCTTCCAGACAGTAATTCTTTTCTTTCCCTTTCTACCAGCAGTGAATGGCAAAGAAAATTTTACCTAGGGGTGAAATGGATTTTATAACCTTCAGGCTATGGTTTCTAAACAATAAATATGAACCCCACACTGTATTTTTCTATCATTCTGACAAAGTTTTCAAGCTATTTCTACTTTATCAGAGTACAGCTGGCATATATTTAGTAAGGTCGGGCGGACAGCTGACAAACGTGTACCGAAGTCAGGAATAATATGTGCTTTAGAAGATGTAAATGAGTACAGCAAACCTTGCATAAAACTCGTGTGACATAACAGTTAGCACTGTCTTTCAGGGATGACAATGTGAAATTGGACAAGTTACTTTGCCTTTCATTACTCCTTAGTACAGAGTGCAAACAGGGCTGGAGTGAAAATGGGTCACTGCAAACTTGTCCATATGTAGTAAATATTCTGTCACTTCTGTTGATTAGAGGTTGAACATTCAAATACTAAAAAAATAGCCTCCCCCCTTTTTATAATGCTGCTAAAAGGCCAGGAAATGTGAAGACTGTGTAGGTGGTTGTCATTGTTGTGGTGATCGCAGGCAGAATACAAATTGAGACATGAAAAGAGAGTGGCTAGTCAGATTATTTTGCATTCAGTTTAAACTGAAGGCAACATTTCATTTGTGGTCCACAATAATTCTACATTAGGAAATACCTATTAAAAAGAAAAAAGCATCTTTTTATCAAAGTCACGGGATTTCAGTACATTATTTGTGGATTAAAGGAGTATTATAGGCCATGGTCTGCACTGTACTTGATATGATAAAACTTTCAGAATAATTTTTTAAATCAAAATAGCTCACAGAAGCTGAAGAAAGTGGATGATATCCCCCTTTTTTGAGGGGGAGTTTAGCCCCAGTGTCTTGCTATAGAGTTCTTTCTTTTTGTACTGAGGTGATTTAAACAGTCAGTATGTTAGCTGATAATGTGGACTTAGGTTGATAAGTGAATATTGTAATGCACTGACTCACTATACTGATCTTATAAGTAATTGTCTCCGTTTTGATTAAATCTTTCCCAAAAATAGAACTGAAAAGATCTAGCAATACTGTCTTCAGATTGTG